GGGGGAGGGAGGGAGGGGCTGCTTCTTCCTGCCCTGCACTCCCTCCCCAGCGCACCCGCAGCCTGGGAAAAGGCAGCATATTGAGGCGCGGGTCTCAGCATCAGGCCCAGGATGCTAATGAGGGCGAGCGTGTTCCCACAGCCCGGACATTGTGCCGCGCGGCCCACCTGCTCCTCAGGGAGCGCCCATTGTGCCCGCGCCAATTCACAGGCAATTTAGCGTGCGCTAATGGGCCGGCGCCTTTGTGCGGCCTGCGCCGCCATTGGCCGCCGAGCGTGGGAACGGCCGCGGCGCCCGGGCCCCAGGCCCCGGCCGAGCCCGCGCCTATATCAGGCGGCTCGCGCCCAGCTCAGCCAGCTCCCGGCTCGCCGCTCCGCGCCCGCCGGCATGGCCCCCAGCACCGTGGCGGTGGAGCTGCTCAGCCCCAAGGAGAAGAACCGGGTAAGTGCCAACCCCGCGGGCTCCGCGCCGACTCTCTCCGCGCCTTCCGCCGGCCTGCGCCCCTGCTGACGCCTTTTCCTTCTTCTTCTTCTTCTTCTCCTCCTCCTCCAGCTACGCAAGCCCGTGGTGGAAAAGATGCGCCGCGACCGCATCAACAGCAGCATAGAGCAGCTGAAACTGCTGCTGGAGCAGGAGTTTGCGCGGCACCAGCCCAACTCTAAGCTGGAGAAGGCCGACATCCTGGAGATGGCTGTCAGCTACCTGAAGCACAGCAAAGGTGAGAGCGCGGCCTGCCCTTCCGGTCCCTGGATGCCTCGCTTCCCCGGGGGCCTCGCTTCCCGGAGACCTTGCTCCCCCAGATCCCTGCCCCGCTCTCTGGTTCCTGGTGCCCGCCGCTCAACGCCTGTCTCCCCCCACCCCACCTCTCCGCAGCTTTTGCCGCCTCTGCCGCGAGCCCCAAGAGCCTGCATCAGGACTACAGCGAGGGCTACTCGTGGTGCCTGCAAGAGGCTGTGCAGTTCCTGACCCTGCACGCGGCCAGTGACACGCACATGAAGCTGCTCTACCACTTCCAGCGGCCCCCTGCCGCCCCTGTGGCACCCAAAGAGACCCAGAACGCCAGCGCTGCGCCCCAGCTGTCTCTCACCTCAGCCAAAGTCGCTGCCCCGCGGCAGCCCACCTGCGGCCTCTGGAGGCCCTGGTGATGGGACCACCCAAGGACCAGAGGGCTGCGCTGAGCGGTTCTTCTCCCGAGTAGGGAAGTGCCTTCCCGTCCCAGGTGCAGCGCGGATGCCTCTCCGGAGGGCTTCCTCCCCACTGGCGGGCCAGCAGGGGAGCCATTCTCAGAGGATGCGTGCAGGCCCTTGTCATTTTGGGACAATCTGGGCCTATCTGCTGCAGAAAGAGGGCTGCAGCTAGGGGTCTGGCCCCACGGGGTCGTTGTGTGTTTGCATTTCAGCAAATGACTTCTGAGAAGTCCCGGCGGGCCACCTGCCGGGGGGGTCTATGATATTTGTAGGCGGTGGGGCCGGCAGAAGCCGCTGTAGAGGACTTTTCTTCTGGCCCATGACTGTGGGAGCTCCCCCCCTCCAGGCGGGCCGTGCAGTGGGGCATCTTGCCTTTTGTAAAGGCGACCGCGATGTGCATCCTCATAGGAGATTAAGTAGCAGCCTGAGTGCGGGGGGGAGAGCCACACAAGGGGGGAGCCTTTCCTGAAAGGTTGTCCCCGCGTGTGTGCTCAGCTGTCCGGTCAGGGCTCATGGTGGGCCGTTTGGGGAGGGTCAGGGCTCATAGTGGGCTGTTGGGGGCGGGAGTGGGGGGGGTTCCCCATTACGATCCTTAAAGGATTCTTCTGTTTGGGTGCGCGTGGGCGCGACATCTGTACTCAGTATTTGAAACTCTGTCATGCGGACTGCTCTGCGGGCTTTTAATAAAATCTGATTGTTGAGTCCTGGTCTCCTCTTCTGCCTAACAAAGGAGGGTGTCCTGGCCTGTGAAAATGGGGGGAAGGTGGAGGTGAAAGGATGGCCAGGCTGATCTTCAGGGGTGATGGGAGTGAGTAGGGCCAGGGGACGCGGTGGTGCAGCTAAGGTGGAGGGTGGGGTTCTGACTGCAGAAAGTATGTGACCTGGCCTGGAAGGGAGATGAGGGAGAGGGAGGTGGAAGGAAGTTAGGAAGTTGGAAGTCAGTGAGGGTGGGAAAGAAAAAGAAATGGAAAAGTTGGGGGGAGGGGGGAGTCAAAGGGAGAAGAGGAAGCAAGGAGCAGAAGGCAGAGAGGGAGAGCAAAGAAGAGAGTATTCTAGAAGGGAAGAGAGAGGAGTAGTAAGTTGGAAGGAACCGCGCCTTGACTAGTCCATCAATGTGTGTAGGAGAGGGAGGCAGCAAAGCAGAGGCCTGGGTTCCAGCCCTGGGGGGGTTTCATTAGCTTTCTGTAGGTGGAGGTGAAGATAAAATGATGTCTAGCTGAGTACACATAGCCTGCACTGAACCACTTGCTGCACTCAGGGGAGTTTTGATGGATCCAAATACGCAAAAAGAAGAAATGTTTGCCACCAGCCTCTGCTCCTCCCTTCCCTTCTGTAGCCATCTGCAGTCCTGGCAGGAGCTCCCAGAGGCACCTGTGTGGCTAATCCCCAGGTGTCTGCCCTGCACTCTCAGCCACCAACCACCTGATTGCCAGGCTGGAACAGGCAGCGCAGGTGGTGATTCTGCCAGGGCTGATCCCTTGCTCTAAAAGGGCACTTATTTTTAGGCAGGCTACAGTTGAGTCCGCCAGAAATGAACCTCAGTGCCCAGACACCCAGGTTACCAAGTGAGGCAAAATCTGACAGAGTAGCAAGAAGCCAGAAGGGGAATCTATCATGCAGACTCTCAGACACTTTGTGGTGCTGGCATCTCCCAGTCCTTGTTGCCCTCCACCTTTTGCTTTCTGGATCGTTCTGCAGGGTGCCTTCTCTGGGCCACTCCAGTGCCTGCCACCAACCCTCTCCAGTCACTGCTAACCCTTGGGTATGGGTGGGCAGGGGACAGGGCAGGCTTGGTGCAGGGGTAAGGGTCCATTACTACCAGGAGAAGCCCCACTGACTTCATGGAAGGAGGTATACCTGGTGGGTCCCCCTGCTGTACTCACTCGGGAGCAGATTCTTTGCCCTTCCCCCGGGCAGGCACCAGGCCTTGCCATCTTACTGACCCTCCTGATTCTCCCAGAAATCCCATTCTAGGTTCTGGGCTTCTGCTGCCCAGGAGCCCCTTTCAGCTTATTAGGGTCTCCTAGGAACCTGTCTAGAAATTGGTGGTACTCCCAGTTTGGAAAGAGAGAGAGGCTGAGGTCCAGTGACTCACAGGAGTTGGCCTCAGAGGCCAGATTTGCCTACCTCTTCACTGAACTCTTCCCAGAGCTTCTTCCCAGTGCCTCTGAGGGACTTGATCCCAGGAACCCACCTCAGCTATCTCGTGTCTCTGTCCCAGATTTCAGCCTGTCCCCGCCAATTCCTGGAGGCACTATGCTACCCCTGCACTCTGGGTCCTATCAGCACAAACTGCCTGGCTGCAAGGCTGCATGTGCCAGGCTCAGACTCCTTGAGAGCAGGATTCCCTTTTAAAACAATGAACCTGGAGGTGGGTCACCTTGGCAGAGACCATTTCACATGCACCCTAGCCCGTCTAGTTTACAGCGTTGCTCTAGGGACCAAGAGGCAAGTATTGGCCTTTGGTAGTCCTAGTGGTAAAAGGGAGTTCTGGTGGCTTAGTGGCATGATACTGCGCTGCAATTCCCAAGGCTCGCCATTCGAGGCCATCAGCCGCTCTGTGGGCAAAGGATGTACAATCTCCTACTGTGCGACTGTTTAAATGCCTCTGAAAACCCACTAAGTCAACTATGGGTCACTTCCTGGCTGCTCTGCAATATCTAAGGCATGCGGTTCAAATCCACCTGCTACTCCACGGAAAGATGAGCAATCTACCCCCATGCGATTTACTGTCTCTGAAAACCCACTGGAGACCCAGCTGTGGGTCGTTCGGATTCTATGGCACACAACTGCCTATAAGCGTGAATGTTATTTATTCTGCCTTTTTCAGCACCAACTTAGAATATGAGTTAAGAATCTGGCCAACTCAGTGGGGAAACAAACAAACATGCCAGATAGGTATTGTTGAGCTGTTTCTGAGGCCCGTCCGCAGAGGCTCCACCCGCCCAGAGGGCTGGGCGGACGCAAGCAGGCGGGGCGAGAACTTCATTAACATAATATATTCGCAGGCGGCGTTTAACAGTCAAATATATGCACATATATCTCCATGGCTAATGAGGCTGGCCGGGCACATTCAAAATGGCGGAGTGTGGGGCGAGGGGCAGCGGTAGCAGCGGGGACAGCCTGGACAAGAGCATCACGCTTCCTCCCGACGAGATTTTCCGTAACCTGGAGAACGCCAAGCGCTTCGCCATCGACATAGGTAGCCGCAGGCCGGGACGCTGGGAGTAGGGCGGCCCGGGACAGGAGGGCGCCTGTTTGGGGTACCGGCGAGCCGGGGGCGGCGGGAAGGACGAAGGGCGGGGTGGAGGCCGCCGCCCGAGGAGCCCGACGGGAATTGTAGTTCGCGGGGCCCCTGGCGCCCGAGTTCGCGATGGCAGCTGGACCACAGTTCCCAGCAGGAGCCGCGCGGGTCAGCGCGGGGCATACTGGGACTCGTAGTCCGGCGTGCTAGCAGGCAGCAGTGGGGGAGGCTGGGGAGCTGGTTGGCAGGGTCCACTGTGGGCAGGGATCTGCCCCCGACGTGCCAGGGGACGGGGGGCATGACCCTAACGTGCTGCTCCTGGACGTCCGGGCAGCCGCCTCGCCTCCCCCCGTTATTCCGGCAGAGGAGGGGTCGGCCACGGGGCGCGGGGCCCAGGGATCGGGGAGATGGGTTTAAATCTAGGCCTGCTTCGGACCCTTCGGGCAGGAGGCGGCAGGCATAGTGTCTTAGAGTACCTCAGGGACCGGCCTGAGGTGTGGGGTTGATGCGAAGACCAAGCCAGCACCCATAATTCCTGCCCATCAGAAAGCGCTTCACAGAGAGGTCTAGCAATGGCCGCGGAGCCTTCTCAATGCGGCCACCGACCTTTGGCCTGAGGACCCCGGCAGGGACCGTTGGGCAGAGTCTAGGGCGCAGCGCTGAGGTCCTACCTGGCCTTGCCCACGCTTTACCTGAAGGTGTTGCTTTCTGACATTGGCTGTCAATGAGCTTGGGAAGCCAGGGTCATCCTTCATGCCTTCGTACAAGATGAGAGACACACACTTCTTGCCCTCCAGACCCTCCTGCCCCTTAGGTCCTGTCGTTTACTCCCTCCTCCCAACTAGGCCTTTAGGTGATTGTTGAGGTGAACCCTGTACCCTTCATCCTGCAGCATCTTGATGGTTAATATTCCTAAAGTGCTTTCATCATGCAGTTTACAGATGAAGACTAACTGGTGATTACATGGGTTGAAAAGTGGCAGAGCTGGGATTGGAACCTGGCTGGCACCAATTGGGGGAGGGCTTCCAGGACTGGAACCGGAGTAGGCCTTATGGTTGCCTTTCATTCCGGTCAGGCTGCAGCCTTTGATGTCTGCAGGTGTAGACATTTAAGCTCCTGAGGGCTAGAGAGGGTCCCTTAGTACCCTACTTGCTCTCTGCACCCGTAGTGTGTTTATGTTCAGTAAATACCAGGATGAGTGCTTGAGCTGTGGACTGGTGCTCACTCTCTTGGGGAGGTCGGGATGCCTGAGGGACCCGGGCCTGTCCCCCAGAGCTGTTTGCTTCTGGTGCATATAATGCATACAGCTCTCTTGTTCTGGGAATCATTTGGAGTCAGCACAGGTTTAGCCCTCCACACTCATTCATGGTGCCCCATTCAGGAGGAGAGGGGAGGGGTATTCCCTGGGAAGTTGAATCAAAGATACTGGAGGTGTGGCAGAGTAGAGAGTTCCTGCCTTGCAGGGTGATGATCTTCCATGGTGCTGGAGAACAGGGGCCGGCTGGTGAGATGTAGGAGGGCATGAGGGACAGGGCTGTAGAAGATGGCCAGGTGGGAGTTGCCTGGAGGCTGGGCCCAGGGGAGACAGCAGTGCAGAATCAGTGAGAGTCTGACCAGCTGCCCCAGAGGAATCAAACAAGGGCGGGCCCGGCAGGCCTTGGAGCTTATGAGCTTGGAGGCCCTGCTGCAGGCATTGTCCACGCCAGCTCAGCCAAGGCTGTGTGTGCCGCTCCACAGCTCCAGAACTGGAGTGGGAGTGTAACACGGCCAGGTGCTTCACATGTGCTGTGGTGCTCAGATTTCCCCATCCTGGGACCCCGTGTCCCTGGAGCAGCTCACTCTCCTCTCATTCCTGCAGAGGCTTTGCAATAAACTCCTGTCCTGCACTAGACAGCTTCTCACCTTATTGAAAGCATATGTTCTTTGAAATAAATTAATGTTTTGCAGTCACTTGTTATGCAATGACTAGGGAGGATAGAAGGAGAATTGATGCCTTTGAACTGTGGTGCTGGAGAACAGTATTGAGGGTACCATGGACTGCTAGGAAAACAAACAGATTCATCCTGGAGAGGGTTAAACCGGGCGGCTCCTTGGAGGCAAGGATTCTGAGGCTCTGTCTAACATACTGTGGACATGTTGTAAGGACAAACAGTCCTTGGAGAAAGACATCATGCTTGGTAGGGTGGAGGGACAGTGCAGGACGGGAAGGCCCTCTATGAGGTGGATTGATTCAGTGACTGGGGTAATCGGGATGGGTGTGTCAGGGGCAGTGCGATTGGCACAGGACAGAGCAGGGTTTAGGGCTGTTGTACATAGGGTCGCTATGAGTCGCAAGCCAGGGGCAGTGCGATTGACACTGGACAGAGCAGAATTTAGGGCTGTTGTACATAGGGTCGCTATGAGTCGCAAGCCAGGGGCAGTGCGATTGACACTGGACAGAGCAGAATTTAGGGCTGTTGTACATAGGGTCACTGTGAGTCACAAGCCATTCAATGGCACATAACAACAACAACAACAACTAATAAATGAACCAAAAGGCAACATCATGATAGATGGAGAAATGATTTAAAGTGTCAGTTACTTCTTCTTGCTTGGCAACATAGTATTGACTATACCCTTGGTACCAGCAGATCGGGAGATGTATAGCAATGGGAGAGTCTGCTGTAGGATTCTCTCCGAAGTTCTGAAGAACAATGATTTCAGTTTAAAGGCTAAAGTACACCTAGCACCTCATTCAAAGCAGTCTTTCCATTCCCCTGCTATGCATGTGAGAGCTGGACGGTGAATGAGGATGGTTGAAAGGAGAATAATCGGTGCGCTGCAGAAGAGTGCTGGATACCCCATGGCCTGCCCAGAGAACAGATATGTCTTGGAGCACATGCAGCCAGAATGTTCCTTGGAGGTAGAGATGGTGAAACATTGTCTCACATATTTTGGACATACGTTGTTAGGCTGTTCCTTGGAAAGGGATGATATGCTTAGAAAGGTGGAGGGTCTGCAAAGGAGAGGAGGACGTTCAACAAGATGGATTGAAACAGTGTCTTCAGCAGTGGATTCAAGTATGTTTAAGAATGGCACAGGACAGGACAGAGTTCAGATCTGTTGTTCCTGTGGTCACTATGAGCCATACGCAATACAATGGCACCTAACAATAACAACGTTAACTCCTAAATATTTGTTGAAAACTAAAAAGGAAAATGCAGAGCCCTCCTTGGCCCACCAGCACCCTGAGGAGGTGCCTTCCCCAGCAGCTGTGTGCACTGAAGGCTTCCGCGTCTTGTTGGCTCTGTGTGCCCTGCACTCAGGACTCTGCTTGGTGGGAGCAAGTTGAGGATCGGTGAAGTGCACACGTCACTGTGAGGCCAGGCCCTCTGTGTTCTGTGTGGCTCCGGAGGTCTGTGAATGGTGCTCTCAGGAGGGGCTGCTCCGGCCCTGGAGGATCCCAGCCTGCCCAGGTGGGCTTTGCTGGCAGAGGAGCACATGGAGGGATATTTTTAGTGCCTGGATTTATTTGTTGCCACTCTGAAATTTTCCCTGGGGCCAAGCCCAGTGCCTTTGACTCTGAAAAGGACACCCTCATCTTTACCCACGACAAGCTTGTGGTTTCTTCCTGTAATCCTGCAGGCTCCTGTGGGTGGGGTTCTCTGCCCAGGCCATGCAGCTGGAATGTTCCTCAGTAGTAGGCTTCTCGGTTTCTCTCCCTCGCCCACAGCTATGGGCCCTGGAGACCGTAATTGCCCAGGTCAGGCCTCGCAGCCAGCTAGACTGACCTGCCTCCTTGAGAGCAACAGGGACCCTTGTGTCCTGGAAATGACGATTGGTCTTCAGAGTAAGGGCAGGTGGGAGCACCCCTCAGGGACAGTGAGCATGTGAACAGGAAGGGACAGCAGGGGTCGTGGGTGCTGGCTTCCTGTCCCTGTTTGCTCAAGGTGCAGGGTCCAGGCAGCCCAAGGACATTCTACCTGGGTGCATAAGGTCTAGACACTGTAAGGTGGTCACAGACTGGACTCTGAAGCTCGGATGGAAGATCTTGAACAGGCGCTGAATGTCTTGGGGCTCCCTTTTTTCCCCTCTTCAGGGAGGGGTGGGGAGATGGCTGGCGTATTACACAGGTTTGCGTGTGGATGTCCTGGCCCTGGTCGTTGTTGGAGTTGAGGCTGCAGAGCAGGCGACAGCACAGCTGGACTGGGGACATCCCAATTCCAGTGGCTCCCGAGAACAGGTGAACACTCCTGGTTTCCTCGGGCTCCCAGTGCCCTCTGAGCTAGCGCTGGTTTAAACTGATGCTCCGATTCTACCTATCCCCCCACACCCCTCCTGGGAAGGGTAGGAAAAGGACTAGGACCCTGCCATGACCATCTCGTCAGGTGTTCAAGGCAGTGTGTCTGCTGGTGTATAGACAGCTCAGAAACTACACCTCTCGCTCCACCCCCAAGTCCCTTCACCCAGACCACTCATATGTCTTGTTTGGGTTGTGGTCTAAAGCTAACCCAGATAATGTTAAAAAAAAAAAAATCAAGACTCTGTGCCATTGGACTTTGTTGAAAGTGGCTTTGGATACATATTATTCCTTAAAATGTATCATTGTCCTTTTCATTGCCTCTTGTTAGAAAATAATAGAGGGTGTGGACTGCAGACATCTTAGAAGGATTCTGCCAGGCTGGAATTGGGGACAGGAGGGGGCGGTAAGGAGTCTCATAGCCAGCTCTGCCTCCTGAGCTCCTGGGGCAGACAGGATTAAGGCCAGGTATCATGTTGACCCAATGAGATGCAGCCTCCACCTGACGGATGTGGCCTCAGGCTGCAGGGTCACCTGGCAGTTTCTAAGTCCCTTTGCTGACTTAAGTTTGTCCGCCTACGCTTTAGTGTAGTATCACAGAACAACTGTTTCAAAAGCATCTTTGTCTTCTCACTGTCCTTGTGAGGAATGTTTGCCGTAATTTGTCAGGCCCCTTGCACTGAGCGTGCGGTTGCCCTGCCTCCCCTTTTGCCTGGAGCCCTTTTGCCTCCAGTGTGCTTGCTTTGCCTTGGAGAGGAACCCACTGGAGTGCAGCTGCCGAATGGCCTCTCACCGTCGTGTAGACATGTCCCCTCGGACATGTTCTCACCAGTGCTCTGACGTCTTGTGCCGTCTTTATCTATCAGTTTGCATTAAGTGTCCATTCTGGGGCAATGGGGCTTCTCCAGGACACCTACAAAGTCTTGGTCATTGGAAGAAAGAGGCTGTGTCTGTTCTGGTGTTTGGGGCGTATTATCTGAGCCTTTCCAGGGGGCACTAGTTCTTGCTTGGTCCCATTGTCACCAGTGTCTCTACTGGAAGAATACTTGTGTCACCTGCCTCTCTTGTTCAGGTGAGTGGCCAGTGTGGGACACATCATGAAACCTATTTCTGAACCTATGTCCTGGTCATTCTCAAGACCAGAGCTAGAGGCTGACATTTCCTAAGCGGGGTAGACTCGCAGAGGACTCCCGCAAACAGGATGGGCCCATTTTCAGGGCAAGTGGAAGCTCTGAACCCACTTTAATTGGAGTCTAAGGAAGCACTGAAGCTGTAAGGGGAAAGCGGCCTTAGACCTGATATCCCCTCCGCTTGCTCCATGTTCTTCTGTCTCAGGCTGCGTGTCTTTGGGAGCGCAGACTGCAGAGGGGTGGAGAGCGCTTGCCCTTGGTGTCCTGGTGATCTAACTTGTCCCAGAAAGCCCAAGTGGGACTATGAACCTCCATCCCCCTCCCCCCAGCTCTGACTGGTGCTTTGTGTCCCCCGCAGGTGGGTCCCTGACCAAGCTGGCCTACTACTCAACCGTGCAGCACAAGGTCGCCAAAGTGAGGTCCTTTGACCACTCAGGGAAGGTGAGCTCTTCAGTGGAGAAGGCTCTGGCAAGCGCAGCGTGAGGCTGCGGGGGAGCATGTGGTTGGCGAGAAGGACTGCCTGGTGACGCCTCCTGCCACCCTGTCGTCAGGGACAGGGCACCCTGCAGCCCCTCTGCTACTCTCCAGTGCGTCCTCGCTGTCCTGGACATTGCTAGCGTTTCTACTCCTTCCCGCCCTCCAGTCTCCTACCCTATAGTGCGGATCTTGCAGACAGACACTCCCACCTGCCATGTTCCTTTGAGAGCCTCCTTTCCCAGTGGGGCAGTGAGGGTTTCAGAAGTCCAGTCCTCTCCTTGGGCTTCAGGCCTCCATACTCCATAGAGACTCTCAGCCCCAGGCCCCCTGAATTTAGAATGTGAATTCTGCTTGTCTCAAGGTGAGCTCAGATTGCCAGGCTCTTGGGGTGGGGCTGCAGTACGTTCTGGCATCTCTTGATTTTATTTTGCAGGACACAGAGCAGGACCATGAGCCTCCCTATGAGATCTCTGTCCAGGAAGAGATCACTGCCCGCTTGCACTTCATCAAATTTGAGAACACTTACATCGAAGCCTGCCTGGACTTCATCAAAGATCACCTGGTCAACACAGAGACGAAAGTCATCCAGGCCACGGGGGGTGGGGCCTACAAGTTCAAGGACCTCATTGAGGAGAAGCTTCGGCTCAAGTGAGTGGAGCCAAGCTGCCAAGACAAGGTGGACAGGGGAAGGTGGGCAAGGCAGCCCACCCTGCTTGGGTGGGGACAGAAAGGGCTCCCTGCTGGTGAGAGGGGCATGGGGGCTTACTGCTAGTGTGCATGTATGACCTTCTGGTGGTGTCAGGATGTGGGCACTTCGTGCAGGAGTGGTTGTGAGGACAGGCCCTGTAGGCCACGGGGTCGGTCCCTGGGCTGGTGCTTCAGATCGCATGGCAACAACCTGGCTGCTCTGTGCCTGCTCCAGCCCTACTGTGGGTGTCTGAGAACTCAGGACATCCAGGATGCAGGCCTTTGAGTGGGTCCAGAGCTTTGCAAGCTGATCTGGGGGTTCAGCACCAGCAAGGCCTGGGAGAAAAAGTGCCCACAGGTGGGTGTGGGGTGACTGTTGTAGAGTGAAACGAGAGACTTGGGTTCAGGGGTACGAGAGTCTGTGCCAGTGTCCTCCTGGCTAGTCACCCTTCAGGTTTTTGTGTGGGCCTTGGGGCTGTGCCTTCCTAGCGGAGCCTAGTGCATGCCTCATCACAGAGCTGATGGACATTCGGGAGCTGCTGTGCTCACTGCTGTTTCCAGAGTCGTATCAGCTGGTGGAATCTGCAGCTGGGAGACAGCATGCGGGGACAGTGTTGTGGGGTTCCGACTGCCTTCTGCGCCACGGGTGGGCTCTGGCCTCTGGGGCCACTGTGCTCCAAGGGTGGTTCCTTCCCTTGCAGAGTGGACAAGGAGGACGTGATGACCTGCCTCATAAAGGGCTGCAACTTTGTGCTGAAGAACATCCCGCATGAGGCTTTCATGTACCAGAAGGACGCCGACCCTGAGTTTCGCTTCCAGACAAACCACCCGAACATTTTCCCCTACCTCCTTGTTAACATTGGCTCTGGGGTCTCTATCGTGAAGGTGAGGGAAGGAAGAAGGGAGGGAAGGAGGGACTCAGTGCTTAATGATGAGGCCTTTGTCCATGTCAGAGCCGGTGCTGGACATGGGGACAAGTGACAGAGGCATGTGGCACAGGATGGGCCCTTGACCTATTGCTCCCAGAGCCCTGCTGAATGTGAGCACTCCTGGTACTTGGGGAGCTTAGCTCTGCCCCTGACTCATGACCTCCGTCCTCAGTAGCAGTGGGGGCAGCACTGTTGCTGGCTGAGGCTGCTCCTGGGGTTGCCCTGAGCCAGTGGCTCTAGTGACCGGCCACGTGCACATGTATCTCCGTTTGCTTCCCAGGTGGAGACTGAAGACAAGTTTGAGTGGATTGGCGGCAGCTCCATTGGAGGGGGCACGTTCTGGGGGCTCGGCGCTCTGCTCACTAAGACAAAGGTACTCGCCGTACACAGGAGGATACCCGGTCCAGGGGGCAGTGGGCCGGGCTTTTACCCCTGTTGGGATTTCGTTCTGCTTCCTGGATCTTAGACACCACAGTTCCAGTGGGTAGAGAGAGCGTGTTCAGGAGGGTGGATTGTCAGAGTGAGTCAGGGCATCATTGTTGAGTAGGTGGCCCCTAGTTTCACTCGACCCTGCCCCATGGGTTCTCCTTGACCTTTCCTGGACGTGATTGGCATCTCAACTGCTGTCATCTGCTCTGTCCTCCCAGAAATTCGATGAGCTGCTGCATCTGGCCTCCAAGGGCCAGCACACGAACGTGGACATGCTGGTACAGGACATCTACGGCGGGGCCTGCCAGACGCTGGGGCTCAGCGGCACCCTCATCGCCAGCAGCTTCGGGAAGTCAGCGACTGCCGACCGAGGTGCTTCATGGGGACCTGTGACCACAGTGGAGGGAGCAGCCCCTTCTGTTCCTAAAGCCTTGGTGTCACATTTCCTTGCTGGCTACTTGGAGGAGTTGGATTTTTTTTTTAAAGAAAAACCAAACCCTCACATCTCTTCCTGTCCTTGAATTACCACCGCCTTCACTTTATGCCAAGTTCATTTTAATTTTAGTAAATTAATTCAATCAGTTTTCACTCGAGGAGAAGTACTAGCTAGGAAGAGTGTTTTGGTTTTTTCCTTGAACTTTTCCCTTGATTGCACACATGCTTCACACGCCTCTCTTGCTGTCTCCCGCGCACTTGTGTTTTCTCGCTGTCTGCCTGTCACTGCCTCATGCTCTTCTTGCTCACTCTAGCCCTCCCTCACAGTCTCCCTTTACCACTCCAACTCCCTTCACCAATTTCTCATCTTGTCTTTAAATGTTTGGGGTTTTCTTTTTTTTATTTTTGGTTGCAACGTACACAGCCTAACATACGTCCATTCACAATTTCTGCCTGAATGAGTCAATAACGTTGGCTACATTTTTCACGCTGGGTCATACCTGGACCTGTATTTGCTTCATTACCATCATCTTGGGCTCACTTCTCATCTTGTGCTTTAGACTACTGGTTTGTGCTCCAAAAGAATGCTACGCTGTGCCTGGAGGTCAGTGCTATTAACTGGGCCAAATTATTGTTTAGTTTAATGGCAGCTTTGCAGAGTAACTTTAATTCCAAGCTTAACAATTATTTCTAGGCACTGTAGGCTGCCTCAGTCCCAGTGTATCCAGCAAGTCTGGCTTCCAAATGCTGCTCCTCTATTTCTGTTTCTCTCTTCATCTCCCGTTATCCCACTCTTTCATTAGCCCCCCATTTTCACTCAGTAATTCTCTGCTCCCCCTGCCCTCTCCTAGTCTCTTCTCTCTCTTATGGTTCCTTTCTCTCTCTCATTTTTTCTCCCCCTCATTTTCTCTCAGGCAAGGATAATGAAACTTTCTCTTACATAATTTGGGTGTATTGTCAGGAGAGTTTAATCCTTGGGGAAAGGATATCATGCTGGGAAAGGTGGAGGGTCAGAGAAAGAGAGGAAGACCCCAATGAGGTGCATCGACACAGTGATCCTAACACTGGATTTGAGCATTTCAGAGATTGGGAGGGTGGCACAGGTTAGGACGAAGTTCAGATCTGTTTTTATAGGGTCACTATGAGTCGTAGTTGACAGCACCTAACAGTGACATTTCCTCTCACTCATTCTTCCCTTCTCGCCTGATTTCTCTTGGGTCCCCACAAGTGCCTCACAGTTAGTGCGACTGCCTTGATCATGCTCTATTCCCGCTTCTCTCCCAGAGTTTTCCAAAGAGGACATGGCCAAGAGCCTGCTGCACATGATCAGCAACGACATCGGGCAGCTTGCCTGCCTATATGCAAAACTCCACCACCTGGACAAGGTCTACTTCGGAGGTTTCTTTATCCGGGGCCACCCGGTCACCATGCGCACCATCACCTACAGCATCAACTTCTTCTCTAAGGTAATGAGACTTCAACTTCTCCAAGATGCTAATACTCTGGGTCTTCTCCCTTCACCTCTGCCCTGGGCTTCATTCTTCTGGGGCATGTTAAAGTGGACCCTAGGGCCTTCATCCCCAGGGCCATGGCACATGGGGCAGGAAACAAGGGCACGTTCAGTGGGATCAGATGGCCAAGGAGGTGAGTGGTGAGAATTGTGGGCCAAAATGTGGGACTGTTTTTAGGCTCTGTGCCCATAAGAGAGAAGGTGTGCCTGCCAGTTGATGTGAAGCAGACTAGAATGATGCCATATGCAGACTGGTAGGAGGGGATCAGAATGATGGGTGTGCTGAGTAGTGTGAGGTAGCTCACAAGATTAGAATGATACACTTGTAGAGGAATGTGAGCAGATGGCATGACGCTTGTGTAAAGCGGTGTGAGTAAAAGTGCTGTGAGTAAATGGGAAAGATGCTTATGTAGATGGGTGTGAGTAGATGGGAGTGGTGTGTGTGGGTGTACAGTGGTGTATTTGGAGTGATGGTTGTATAGAGGAGTGTGAGTAGATGGAATGTGGAGTGATGTGAGCAGATGGAGTGAAGGAGTGTAGAGTGGTGTGAGCAGATGGAGTGATGGAGTGTAGAGTGGTGTGAGCACATGGAGTGATGGAGTGTAGAGTGGTGTGAGCA